GTGTGAAGACTTTTCAAGGGGTGTGAAGGCAAAATGTGGAAAATTTCAAGGGGGGTGTGAAGACTTTTCAAGGGGTGTGAAGACAAAACATGGAAAATTTCAAGGGGTGAGAAGACTTTTCAAGGGGTGTGAAGACAAATGCCGCCACACTTCTCACAGATTTATTTGTAAAAAATGTTGAAACCATTTCTCATTTTCCTTCCACTTCACAATTATGTGCCACTTTGTGTCGGTCGATCACATCCAATCCAAGTAAAATACATTGACAGTTCTGGTTGTCCAATGACAACATGGGGAACATTTCAAGGGGTGTGAAGACTTTTCAAGAGGTGTGAAGACAAAATGTGGAAAATTTCAAGGGGTGTGAAGACTTTTCAAGGGGTGCGAAGACAAAATGTGGAAAATTTCAAGGGGTGTGAAGACTTTTCAAGGGTGTGAAGACAAAATGTGTAAATGTATAGGGGTGTGAAGACTTTTCAAGGGGTCTGAAGGCAAAATGTGGAAAATTTCAAGGGGTGTGAAGACTTTTCAGGGGGTCTGAAAACAAAATGTGGAACATTTCAAGGGGTGTGAAGACTTTTCAAGGGGGCGCGAAGACAAAATGTGGAAAATTTCAAGGAGTGAGAAGACTTTTCAAGGGGTGTGAAGACTTTTTAAGGGGTGTGAAGACAAAATGAGGAAAAATTCAAGTGGTGTGAAGACTTTTCAAGGGGTGTGAATACAAAATGTGGAAAATTTCAAGGGGTGTGAAGACTTTTCAAGGGGGGTTGAAGACAAAATGTGTAAATGATAGGGGTGTGAAGACTTTTCAAGGGGGTCTGAAGGCAAAATGTGGAAAATTTCAAGGGGTGTGAAGACTTTTTCAAGGGGCGTGAAAACAAAATGTGGAACATTTCAAGGGGTGTGAAGACTTTTCAAGGGTGCGAAGACAAAATGTGGAAAATTTCAAGGGGTGAGAAGACTTTTCAAGGGGGCTGAATACAAATGCCGCCACACTTCACAGATTTATTTGTAAAAAATGTTGAAAACCATTTCCCATTTTCCTTCCACTTCTCAATTATGTGCCACTTTGTGTCGGTCGATCACATCCAATCCTAATAAAATACATTGACAGTTCTGGTTGTCCTAATGACAACATGGGGAACATTTCAAGGGGTGTGAAGACTTTTCAAGGGGCGTGAAGACAAAATGTGGAAAATTTCAAGGGGTGTGAAGACTTTTCAAGGGGTGTGAAGAAAAAATGTGGAACATTTCAAGGGGTGTGAAGACTTTTCAAGGGGTCTGAAGACAAAATGTGGAACATTTCAAGGGGTGTGAAGACTTTTCAAGGGGTATGAAGACAAAATGTAGAAAATTTCAAGGGGTGTGAAGACAAAACGTGGAAAATTTCAAGGGGTGTGGAAGACTTTTCAAGGGGTGTGAAAACAAAACGTGGAACTTTTCAAGGGGTGTGAAGACTTTTCAAGGGGTGTGAAGACAAAATGTAGAAAATTTCAAGGTTTGTGAAGACAAAATGTGGAAAATTTCAAGGGGTGTGAAGACTTTTCAAGGTATGTGAAGAAAAAATGTGGAACATTTCAAGCGGTGTGAAGACTTTTCAAGGGGTGTGAAGAATTTTCAAGGGGTGTGAAGACAAAATGTGGAACATTTCAAGGGGTGTGAAGACTTTTTTTTAAGGGGTGTGAAGACTTTTCAAGGGGTGTGAAGACAAAACGTGGCAAATTTCATGGGGTGTGAAGACTTTTCAAGGGGTGTGAAGACTTTTCAATCTCCATTATAAATTATTCTTACTCCTGCTGCATAAATATCAGAAACGCTTTATAGATATTCGATCTGCCGAGTGAATCTAGGGAACCAAAGAAGGCAAATAAAAGCTGGAAAATCATTAAAAAAATTATTTTTCCACATTTCAGCCCCACCCAACGCGACAATTAAAAAAAAAAATTGCAACGCGGCCCAGTCTCTTTCCTGAACCCCATTCAGAATTGCACGCACGTTTTTTGAGCAGGAGAGGGAGGTTGCATAGCAGAGAATCAGGAGGTTGCAGCTCCCCCCAGCCCAGGCACTGTGAAAATCCTGCTGAAAGTGACCAGGATATATCAGATCTGAAGGCGCAGAGTCCCCTTAAGGAGCGGGCGCTCAAATCCCACCCTATAGTAACAGCTGACGTGTTCAATTATGAATCATTTCCAGTGAATTAAACCAAATCAGAGTTCGTCTTTCGGTGAATGGGAAGAATTGAGATTTCCTGCAGATAATTAAGATCTGACAAGTCTCTGCTAATGACGGGAAAATTGACAGCGAGAGAGCGAGCGAGGAACTGCTAACCGCTGCAACTTTCCCGCCCGGAGTTCACGTGCGTCGCCATTCATCGCCTCCTCCATTCATCTCCTGCCATGTGGAACATCTGCCAGTCTGTGACACCCGCTCAGTTTTTTTTTTTTTTTTCGTCCGGCCTAATTATCTGAAAAGCTGACGCCGCGTGTTTCCTGCACCGTTCCTGCGCTGTGGCCCAACACGGGAGCCCGCGCCGCGATGCGACAGATGTAGCTTGTAGCCGGCGGGCCGGTAAGGCGAGAGGAAGCGCGGTGGACCTCGGTGGTTGCAGCTGCCGAAGACTCAGCATGAATAGTGATGATGGAGCAAAGTACGGATTGTTGGGCGTTCCCCGAAAGCTTGAAAACATTTCTGAACCCCAAACAGGGGCGGACTGACCATTGGGGAACTCGGGCACTGCCCGAGGGCCCGGGGTCAGTAGGGGGCCCCATGAGATGTCCCTGATACCTTTCATAGGCTTTTTTAAGTGTGATTTGAGTGTGGGTGAGGACACAGGGGCCCCATGATCCCCTATTGCCCGGGAGCCCCATGAGTTGTCAGTCCGCCCAGTGGTGGACTGAAAACTCATGGGGCCCCCGAGCAATAGGGGTTCATGGGGCCCCTGTGTCCTTGCCCAAACTCAAAAAAACCTATGAAAAAGGTACGAGGGGCATCTCATGGGGCCCCCTACTGACCCCGGGCCCTTGTGCAGTGCCCGAGTTTCCAAATGGTCAGTCCGCCCCGACCCCAAATATAGCACCTGAGCCCCCTCGCTGAAGTCTACGGGAGACAGGGGCAAACTGACAACTCATGTGGCCCCCCAGGCAATAGGAGATCATGGGGCCCCTATGTCCTCGCCCACACCCAAGAAAGCCTTCGAAAAAGCCAATAAAAGGTACCAGGGGCATCTCATGGGGCCCCTGGGCAATAGGGGATCATGGGGCCCCTGGGCAATAGGGGATCATGGGGCTCCTGGGCATTAGGGGATCATGGGGCCCTTGTGTCCTCGCCCACACCCAAAAAAAGCCTATGAAAAAGCCAATGAAAGGTACCAGGAGCATCTCATGGGGCCCCAGGGCAATAGGGGATCATGGGGCCCCTGTGTCCTCTCCCACACCCAAAAAAAAAGCCTATGAAAAAGCCACTGAAAGGTACCAGGGGCATCTCATGGGGCCCCCGGGCAATAGGGGTTAATGGGGCCCCTGTGTCCTCACCCACACCCAAGAAAGCCTATGAAAAAGCCAATGAAAGGTACCAGGGGCATCTCATGGGGCCCCAGGCAATAGGGGACCATGGGGCCCCTGTGTCCTCGCCCACACCCAAAAAAGCCTATGAAAAAGCCAATGAAAGGTACCAGGGGCATCTCATGGGGCCCCAGGCAATAGGGGACCATGGGGCCCCTTTGTCCTCACCCACACCCAAAAAAGCCTATGAAAAAGCCAATGAAAGGTACCAGCGGCATCTCATGGGGCCCCCTACTGACCCCGGGCCCTCGGAATGGTCAGTCCTCCCCTGACGGGAGACACATTTTTTTTTTTTTTTTTTTTGTTTTTCCGTCCAATTTCCAATTCTTGGTAAAAAAAAAAAAGGGGGGGGGGGATGGGTAGCTGGGCATCGCCGTGAAGGACAGGCAACAAAGTACTCATTATTAAAATGATCATTCGAAGGGGGCGGGTCTTTTAGAGAAACATTGAAAATACACAATTCCTTTAACCCCTCCCTCTCCTGAGGATTTCCCCCCCCCCCCTTTCCCATTTTTTGCATTACGGCGCTGCGTTACTTTAACTGACAATTGCGCGGTCATCGTGCAACGCTGCACCCAAATTAAATTGACGTCCTTTTTGTCCCACAAATTGAAAAAAAAAAAACGTAACAACCAAAATATAAGTAGATACATAAAGGCGTATTTTAGGTGGAGCTTTCTTTCAGCCGTATTTGATCGCCTGTGCGGTTTTTATTTTTGGGGCTATAAGCAAAAAAAAGACCGACAATTTTGAGAAAAAAATAATATTTTGGACTTTTTGCGATTAAACGTGTTCAGTAAAAAAAATGATAAAAATCAAATTTCATCATAAATTTAGGCCAAAATGCATTCTGCTCCGTGTCTTCGCAAAATTAATTGGTTTACGTGAAAGTTCTAGCGTTTACAAATGGCGGGATAGATACTGGGATTTTTTTTTTTTTCCACTAGTAATGGCGGCGATCAGCGACTTATAGCGGGACTGCAACGGGCATTCTGACACTGGGGGGGGGGGGGGGGGGGGGAACTGACTTGGTGTCACTGACATCCCCAGTGACACCAATACAGTGATCAGTGCTAAATAACAGCAATGACTCTGTACTAATGGCACTGGGCAGGAAGGAGGTAACATGAGAGGCGATCAAAGGGTTCACTGTGTGCTGGGAGTGTTTTACTAGTGGGCGGGGTCTGTGTGCTTCACTGTAATCACACTGATCGGGATGGCTGTGCTGTGTGCCGGAGCCAACAGGAGGAAGACTGTTTGTAAACAAAGCAGTCTTCCTCCCCGTCGGTGATTGTCAGTAATCACCAGGCGCCAAATGTTGCCGCAAGTAGGCGTCATTGCGAAGAATGCTCCTTACATTGGGGGTCAGTGGGAAGAATGTCCCTTACATTGGGGATCAGTGGGAAGAATGTCCCTTACATTGGGGGTCAGTGGGGAAGAATGTCCCTTACATTGGGGGTCAGTGGGAAGAATGTCCCTTACATTGGTGGTCAGTGGGAAGAATGTCCCTTACATTGGGGATCAGTGGGAAGAAATGCTCCTTACATTGGGGGTCAGTGGGAAGAATGTCCCTTACATTGGTGGTCAGTGGGAAGAATGTCCCTTACATTGGGGATCAGTGGGAAGAATGCCCCTTACATTGATGGTCAGTGGGAAGAATGTCCCTTACATTGGTGGTCAGTGGGAAGAATGTCCCTTACATTGGGGGTCAGTGGGAAGAATGTCCCTTACATTGGGGGTCAGTGGGAAGAATGCCCCTTACATTGGTGGTCAGTGGGAAGAATGCTCCTTACATTGGGGGTCAGTGGGAAGAATGTCCCTTACATTGGTGGTCAGTGGGGAAGAATGTCCCTTACATTGGTGGTCAGTGGGAAGAATGTCCCTTACATTGGGGATCAGTGGGAAGAATGCTCCTTACATTGGGGGTCAGTGGGGGAAGAATGTCCCTTACATTGGTGGTCAGTGGGAAGAATGTCCCTTACATTGGGGGTCAGTGGGAAGAATGTCCCTTACATTGGGGGTCAGTGGGAAAAGAATGTCCCCTTACATTGGTGATCAGTGGGAAGAATGTCCCTTACATTGGTGGTCAGTGGGAAGAATGTCCCTTACATTGGTGATCAGTGGGAAGAATGTCCCTTACATTGGGGGTCAGTGGGAAGAATGTCCCTTACATTGGTGGTCAGTGGGAAGAATGTCCCTTACATTGGTGGTCAGTGGGAAGAATGTCCCTTACATTGGTGATCAGTGGGAAGAATGTCCCTTACATTGGGGATCAGTGGGAAGAATGCCCCTTACATTGGGGGTCAGTGGGAAGAATGTCCCTTACATTGGAGGTCAGTGGGAAGAATGTCCCTTACATTGGGTGATCAGTGGGAAGAATGTCCCTTACATTGGTGGTCAGTGGGCAGAATGTCCCTTACATTGGTGGTCAGTGGGAAGAATGTCCCTTACATTGGGGTCAGAGGGAAGAATGTCCCTTACATTGGGGGTCAGTGGGAAGAATGTCCCTTACATTGGGGGTCAGTGGGGAGAATGTTCCTTACATTGGGGGTCAGAGGGAAGAATGTCTCTTCCATACAGATAGTAAAAAGATAATTGGCGTCAGTGGTTACATATTCTTCCTCCCGGCCATTCACGAATCACACAGCCCCAGCCTTTCTTTTGTGAATGGCCAGGAGGATGGGGAGGCGGAGACACGACTGTAGAGCTGGGGGTCTATGAGGCTGGCAATGGTCACACCCAGCGGGAGTTCCACCAATCCCGGCACGTGAAGGAGCAGATTCAACATTCCTTGATATAACATTTCATTTTTAGTATTTTTTTGTTTGCCATTGTGGCCCCTCTACCCATTGTTCAGGGCCCCAGGCCAATTACTCCAAGAAACTACCGCCACATTGGCCCGATAGCCCGCCGCCGCGGCGGACGGGACGGCGTGAGACAGACGCGCACGGGCCCGCCCATAAATGATGGGATATGATGTATGCTGTGCTTCCATATTAACCAGATTGAACTTTGCACTAATATCTCCCAGCGTGCTCATCATTCTCCAATTATCTCCCCTCCCCCCCCCCCCCCCCATGACAAATCACTTCTCCTGCTGCAAGATGAATGGCTGCAGTTTGGAGCTGTCAAGCTGAACTCCCAGAAGCCCCCTCTCCTTCGTCTCCGAGACGTTTGTTTCCACGCGGCGCCCAACGCAGACTGCAGAACCCGAAGAACCGAGACGGAGATTTCCACCGAGCAGAAAAATCTCTCCTCAGCGGCAGACATCGATTAAATGACCACCAGCCACTGACAGCAACTGTCACTTAAAGTGTCAGTCCTTCCTCAACTGATATCTCGTCTGCCTCCCAGGGATTTTATAGGAGCGATCTCTGTGCACCCCTTTATGAGGGGCCCCCACCATCCTTGTGCTGAGTTCCCGGGTCTGTACGCCCACTGTGCCCATTATGAGGGGTTCCCACCATCCCTGTGCTGAATACCCGGGTCTGTACGCCCGCTGTGCCCATTATGAGGGGTTCCCACCATCCCTCTACTGAATTCCCAGGTCTGTACACCTGCTGTGCCCATTATGAGGGGGTTCCCACCATCCCTGTGCTGAGTTCCTGGGTCTGTACGCCTGCTGTGCCCATTATGAGGGGTTCCCACCATCCCTGTACTGAACTCCCGGGTCTGTACACCTGCTTTGCCCATTATGAGGGGTTCCCACCATCCCTGTGCTGAGTTCCCAGGTCTGTACACCCGCTGTGCCCATTATGAGGGGTTCCCATCATCCCTGTACTGAATTCCTGGGTCTGTATGCCCGCTGTGCCCATTATGAGGGGTTTCCCACCATCCCTGTGCCGAGTTCCCGGGTCTGTACACCCGATGTGCCCATTATGAGGGGTTACCACCGTCCCTGTGCCGAGTTCCCAGGTCTGTACCCCCGCTGTGCCATTATGAGGGGTTCCCACCATCCCTGTGCTGAGGTCCCGGGTCTGTACACCCGCTGTGCCCAATTATGAGGGGTTCCCACCATCCTGTGCTGAGTTCCCGGATCTGTACGCCTGTTGTGCCCATTATGAGGGGTTCCCATCATTTCTGCACTACATTTTAGGAGCCATGTACCCCGCACATCACATTGATAAATCCCAATGGTTTCATGTGCTGTTCTCATTCACACATACGGCTTCATCCATTCTTAATTCCTGCTGGATAATTAATTCTACTCAATTCGATCGCAGTAAATCAGTGCGTCCGTGACCTTGGGAGGAGGGGGAGGGGAGGGGGGCAGAACATTTACCCCAGAGATTCCACAACATGGAGCAGAAGGAAAGAAATTCCAATACTGGAGAGAGAGAACCGTGAGCCCAGCCAATGAAATAACTGCAGGAACATTGCACCTGAGAAGAACAGATACTGAGGATGACACCCGGCATCCAGGACAGGAGAAGTGGGACTGTGCAGAGTCCATCCATACAGAGTAAGGACAGATACCGAGAATGACACCCGGCATCCGGGACAGGAGAAGTGGGACTGTGCAGAGCCCATACATACAGAATAAGAGGAGATACCGAGAATGACACCCGGCATCCAGGACAGGAGAAGTGGGACTGTGCAGAGTCCATACATACAGAATAAGAGGATCTATGGTAGTCCATAATATATAGGTCTGTCCATGGTCCTGAAGTCTGGTTAGATAATGAAAATGTACATTACAAGCAACTTCTCTTTTCATCTCCTTATCTCTCTCTTTCTCTCTCGTCTCCTCCTCTACTCTGCTCTCCATCTCTCTTTCTCTTTTTGTCTCCTGTCTTTTCTTTTCATTTTTCTCTCCTCTCCCCTTGTCTTCTTATCTCTCTATTTGTCTCGTTCTCTCTCTCTCTTCTCTTTGTATCTTATGGCTTCTCTCCTTCCCTCTCATTCTCCTCTTCTTCTCTTCTTATCTCTCTTACTCTTGCACCTTCTCTCCCTTTCTCTCTCTCTCTCTCTCTCTCTCTCTCCCCTTCCCCCTCTCTCTCCTTCTCACCCCCCCCCTCTCTCCTCTCTCCTCTCCCTCTTTCTCTCCCTCCCCCTCTCTTTCTCTCCTTCCCTCTCTCTCTCTCCTCCTCTCCCTCTCTCTCTCCTCTCCCCTTTTCTCTCCTTCCCTCTCCTTCTCCTCCCTCTTTCTCTCCTTCCCTCTCTCTGTCTCCTTCTTCTCTCCCTCTTTCTCTCCTTTCCTCTCTCTCCTTCCCTCTCCCTCCTTCTCTCCCTCATTCTCTTCTTCCCTCTCTCTGTCTCCTTCCCTCTCTCTCTCCTTCTCTCCCTCTCTCTCTCTCTCCTTCCTCTCTCTCTCTCCTTACCTCTCCTTCTCTCCCTCTTTCTCTTCTTCCCTCTCTCCCTCTCTTCTTCTCTCCCTCTTTCTCTCCTTCCCTCTCCTTCTCTCCCTCTTTCTCTTCTTCCTCTCTCTCTCTCTCCTTCTCTCCCTCTTTTCTCTCCTTCCCTCTCTCTGTCTCCTTCCCTCTCTCTCCTTCTCTCCCTCTTTCTCTCCTTCTCTCTCCTCTCCTCCTCCTCCCTCCATCAGATGCCATCTCCCCCATGCCTTGTTTTCTCTAACCATCCCTGTGGCTCTGAGCGCCCTTTGTCCGATGGGGACAATAAAAATAGCCCATCAGGGCCCGGCAGCGGAGAAGTGAAGGTCGGGGACATGTCGCTATTAGCTGTCATTTTCCATTGTTATCTTATTTTTCAGTGGAAGGAATTACAGAGCCCTGTGAGGTTCTGCGAGATGGTCTACAAAGTCTCCCAATTCCCTCTGACCAGCTGCGCAGCAGCCCCTGGGAGGACAATGTACAGAGCTGGAGGAGCCCCCGCTGATGTTATTTGAAGGGCTCAGCAGATGGAAATCCAAAAGCAAGAAGTCAAAGCAAACGACTGTATTTACATGTGTATCTAGTCCCAGAAAGACAAATGTATTAGATTGCAGCTTATCAGTCCTTTTTTGAGGGGCATTTTCCCTTTTTGGGTATTTATGAAGAAATCTGCATAGCAGCAACTCGCTCAGTGACAGTGCATGCACCTCCATTCTGGTATGCCCACCAGGCTTTTATTGTTGGTTGTGACACCAACGAGGAGGTCTCCTCCACTTCAACTCCCATCTTGGGCTTGGCCCTCAACTGATCTCCTGGGTCCTGGAGTGTATTCTTTTTATATCCCTTTGCCAAGGTCACTTTGAAGACACAAAACCAACTTTTTGTGGTCATCGACCCCTTTGTGACTCCAGACCATGCAGCAACTCGCTCAGTGACAGTACATGTACCTCCATTCTGGTATGCCCTCCAGGCTTTTATTGTTGGTTGTGACACCAACGAGGAGATCTCCTCCACTTCAACTCCCATCTTGGGCTTGGCCCTCAACTGATCTCCTGGGTCCTGGAGTGTATTCTTTTTATATCCCTTTGCCAAGGTCACTTTGAAGACACAAAACCAACGTTTTGCGGTCATCGACCTCTTTGTGACTCCAGACCATGCAGCAAACTCGCTCAGTGACAGTGCATGCACCTTCATTCTGGTATGCCCACCAGGCTTTTATTGTTGGTTGTGACACCATCGAGGAGGTCTCCTCCACTTCAACTCCCATCTTGGGCTTGGCCCTCAACTGATCTCCTGGGTCCTGGAGTGTATTCTTTTTATATCCCTTTGCCAAGGTCACTTTGAAGACACAAAACCAACGTTTTGCGGTCATCGACCCCTTTGTGACTCCAGACCATGCAGCAACTCGCTCAGTGACAGTGCATGTACCTCCATTCTGGTATGCCCACCAGGCTTTTATTGTTGGTTGTGACACCAACGAGGAGGTCTCCTCCACTTCAACTCCCATCTTGGGCTTGGCCCTCAACTGATCTCCTGGGTCCTGGAGTGTATTCTTTTTATATCCCTTTGCCAAGGTCACTTTGAAGACACAAAACCAACTTTTTGTGGTCATCGACCCCTTTGTGACTCCAGACCATGCAGCAACTCGCTCAGTGACAGTGCATGCACCTCCATTCTGGTATGCCCACCAGGCTTTTATTGTTGGTTGTGACACCAACGAGGAGGTCTCCTCCACTTCAACTCCCATCTTGGGCTTGGCCCTCAACTGATCTCCTGGGTCCTGGAGTGTATTCTTTTTATATCCCTTTGCCAAGGTCACTTTGAAGACACAAAACCAACTTTTTGTGGTCATCGACCCCTTTGTGACTCCAGACCAAGCAGCAACTCGCTCAGTGACAGTGCATGCACCTTCATTCTGGTATGCCCACCAGGCTTTTATTGTTGGTTGTGACACCAACGAGGAGGTCTCCTCCACTTCAACTCCCATCTTGGGCTTGGCCCTCAACTGATCTCCTGGGTCCTGGAG